CAACCTGCTCGTTCAGAATATATACAGAAATTTATTCGAATCGCAACAAACGAAAGAGGAATCTCCCTTCTCTTGGAATCGGATGGATCGAGCTTTGAGACGGCCCATTCAAAACAGACCGGCGATATACAGATCCGCGCACGAGTTTTCGGTGGAAGAATATTTTTCTCACGAAACGATATTTTACGTTTGGAGTGAGAACGACGGCTGAGGACGAAGTTCATATTGTTCAAACCACAGCCGCTCCTCTCGCCTATTACGAATCATCGTCCCCCAATCTGAAGGAAAGAAGTTTTAAAGTCAGCGACAGGATGAAATATAAGAAATATATTCTAAGACCTTTTCAAAACTATGTCGTTCCCCCGAAAACGCAATATCTCATCGTCACAACCCAGAAGAGTCTCTTTCTCGTCGATCGGTGCTCGTACTCGCTTTGGAAACAATTGAAAGAGGAGATTTCTTTCCAATCGCCGATGATGTTTCAAGAAAAAGAAGAAAGAAAACCCTCCGCCACCTTTACCCATCCCTTCCTTAGATGATAAGAGGAGCTGGACCAAACCGTTATTTCCCGAAAAAAATCGACCCGGCAACGGAATGAAATTGAAGTCATCACAATTGAAGATGAGGAGGAAGAAAAAAAAATTACCTCTTAAAAAAACGGTCGACTTACCGGAACCTACCTGGCGTGTGCAAGATCCGCTTCAGAATCCAGAAGCTTCTTCTTCTTCCCCGACTTGTTCAAACAGGCAACCTCTTTCGGACTCCTCACAGACAGAACCTCTTCCAGTATCCTCTTCTTCTCCTCCAACCTGTCCCGACATCGTAGAGGTAGAATGTCAGACGGGTCCACAAGCTTCAAAAAGTCCCGACATCGTAGAGGTAGAATGTCAGCCGGGTCCACAAGTTCCAACAGGTCCAGAAATCATGGAGGCAGAATCACAGCCGGGTTCACAAGTTCCAACGGGTCCAGAAATCATGGAGGTAGAATTTCAGCCGGGTAAACAAGTTCCAACGGGTCCAGAAATCATGGAGGTAGAATCGCAGCCGGGTCCAGACATCCTAGATCCCTCCACTCATTCCAAAGAGACTCCAAGTGTTTCAAGACAGCCTTGTGAGGATCCAGCCCTTCCCGTATGGAATGATTATATGGACTTACAAAATTTGGTGCAACAGGAAGGAGAAGAAAAATAATCATACGGATGGGTGGGTCAAAGACTCTTTAGATCATTTTAACCTCGAATGAAATTGAACTGTTATGGAATTGCATTTCTGAAATCACATCGGAAATGGGATAAAAACCAAAACAAAAAAAAACAATTTTTTTAATAACAAATGGAGGAGGGTCATTAATGTCAATTAAAAAAATATTATTATAGAGTCCAATCTTGGTGGTTCACTTCAGTTTTCCAGCATGAGGTGATCCACGTTTCCCGAAATATGGATCCCATTCCAAGAGAGATTGTGTAGAGCCTTCACTTCAGTTCTTTTTTTTCCTACCAAGAGGAGAGGGTCCCCAAAGGGTTACCCATGTCCAAAGAGAGAAAGTGTAGAGCATTCATTTCAGTTTTTTTTTTCAAGTTTAGGGGAGGGAGGTCTCAAAATGACACCCCCCATTTTCAAAGAGAGATGGTGTAGAGCGTTCATTTCTGTTTTTTTCCAAAGTTAGGGAGTTTTCAAATGGCTACCCATTTCTGAGAAAGAGAGAGAGAGAGAGAAGGTGTAGAGCGTTCATTTCAGTTTTCCAACATTAGAAGGTCCCAAAATACCTTCTGAATTCAAAGAGATATCGTGTAGAGTGTAGAGCGTTCATTTCCAGTTCTCCAAGATCAGAAGAGAGGGTCCGCTTTTCCCAAAAGGGCTTTCCGCATTCAGAGACAGCGAAATGCAGACTTCAGTTTTCTCCCTCCCCAAGAATAGAGGGTCCCGAAAATGGCTTCCCATTTCAAAGAGAGAGGGAGAGGCGTTCATTTCCATTCTCCAAGATAGGGTCGTCTTCTTTTTCCCAAAATGGCTTCCCAATTCAAAAGAGAGAGAGAGAGAGAGAGGAGAGAGAGCAAAAGGGTGTGTGTAGAGCGGTCATGTTCATTCTCCAAGATAGGGTCGTCAGCTTTTTCTCAAAATGGCATCTCCCCATTCAAAAAGAGATCGTAACCAATTTTTTCCAGTTTTTTCCAAGATGGGGGGGAGAAGAAAACCTAGGATGGAATAACCCGACACACAGAGAGAAAGAGAAAAAAAAAACGCCATCTTGTCATTTTCTGATAGGGTACCGGTGTTCGAATACTTTTGTGACCGACTGTACATTAGCCCCAATAATGGATAAGCATGATATCAAAACGTACTCATAAATTCGGTGTGGTTTATATAACACTGAGAAATCCTTAATAAACCACTTTATCTGTTGATTATTTAACCAAATAAATAGCATCTGTTCCTCCCAAATTTCCACAAATAATTTTTCAAGGTTTTTTTTTATATGCTATATCTCTATAGTTTCTGTTGATCATGTAACTTAAATATCTGTTACAATAATTTTTGAAATGAAAGGACTATATTCCATCAATCTTCTTGACTGACAAGAAAATATGTAGATAATGTGTGGAGTTTAGCATAGGGAAAAACATAACACCAATTTTACAACAAATCTGGGCTAATCTTTGGAATATGGTAACAGGTAGTTTTGCGACATTTTGGTAAGGCGATAAAAGGTTACTAGCTAGGACTTTAGCAGTGTACATGGATAACAGTCAAGAGTGTGCGCAATGCCATTTTTGTGCAATTCTAGGATGTTTTTTAAGTGAAAATAGTCGTCGACGTATACATGGATGATACCGTGTATGTGCAATTCGTAAAAAACGCGGCAAGCAGTGGGCAATTCTGCCCTTTGTCCCAATTTCGCACCTAATCTTCGTCATGATTAAGCACTTTTATTCCATAAAAGTTCTAGCATAAGCGTAATTCGGCTAGAAGATTGCTGGAAATGTTGAGTAAAAAAAAACATGCCTTTACTTCTTGAAAACAAAATGGCGTCCGAACAAAAACTAGAAGGTTGCTGTAGCAGGGTTGGTCGCCAAATTTTAGCCAAAAAATCGCCAAGTTACCATAATCCAAAGATTAACCCAAATCTGAAATTTTGTTTTGTGAGTTTTTGGTTAAACTAAATTCTATAATTTATTTAGGATGAAATAATTCTTTGGCATAATGTAATTCATATCATCTATGTTGCTACAATTCTGTTTCAATACAAGACCATCATATCAGTGTAAGATTTCCCATGTGGAGACTTGGTTTCTAAACTTTGTGTAATATAATACAGAGAAGCTCGTACTGTGAATTCGTAAGTATAATTTATTCTTCTATTAGATTCGAATGGACTCGGTGTTTTCATATAGAATGTTACATATTCAAAGTGTTAGTTCGGTGTTTCATATTCAAAGATGTTGAAGTTCATACAATGTAATTAATTAATAGACTTATCACACATATTTTTTTAATAGACTTATTCTTGAATTTTTGGCTCAGATATAAAGTTATTAATTAAAAACAGCATTAGAAAAGCAAAACTGATTAAAAGAACACTTCCATTATTTTTAAAATTGATGTATTTAAATGCTTTTGTTCATATAAAAACAACAATAAACACATTTCTAAGTAATAAGATCATTAAGAAAATTTGGAACATTTATAAAGGTTTGCAAGGACAACATGATCGATTTGTTTATAAATCACATGGTTTTGACATGTTTGAGTATGCTCCTGCCAGATTGGTAGAATAGAAGGCTGGTGATCTTGTTATGAAACAAATCTTAACAGATAAAGATATAACATGTGAATATAGAATCTAAAGAAAAGGTAAGGTTAGATTAGGCTATTTGAATATGGCTAAGCACATTGGTTATCAGCCTGAAGAAGAATGTTTTTATGAAGAACTTTATAGGGAAAACTGGTTCGTATTCACAAAACACATGCAAAAAAAAAAAAAAAAAAAAAAAACTGCACAGCCAGCTTGTTCACCAGGATTTGAGCTGAGATTAAACTACCAGTATTGAGTTGTTTAAACCACTTGTAGGACAAAACTAAAGAAAATGCTTGTAATATCATGTAATCAAAAGTTAACTGCATGTTATATGCCACAATTGCTTTCTCAAGTACTGAGGTAGGTAATACTTAATCTGCATTTTTTTTCTTTTTTCTTTTGAAATGTTTGGTCATGGTATTATTCATTGCATGTATTTTCTATAATACATACAGAATATTAATAGTTCTATAACAAGTGTCTTTTTTTTTATTTTTAAGTGCTTTGCTTGTTGATATTCTCAAAATTGCATTTGATGATTAGTGCTATCATGTGTATAATAAATACAATGGATGCATATAATAGATCAATATATTTTTAGTATACATATAATGATTCAATATCATTTTTATGAGGAAAAAAAGACACTTTTGACTGCACAGATTTTCTAGAAATCCCAAGTAAAACACATATGAAATCATTTGTTTACAATCAGTGAACGTTAAAATCAGCTACCTGTCACAAAACAATAAAACAGCGACACAATTTCCTACAACAGCCAGCAGTTCCTCCTTTACATGAACAAGAATTTTTTTTTTTAAATTTTTATTTGTTCTTTTTGAACAATGAAATGTCCTTCGATTTCATGCGATCAGACGCTATAGAACTTATCCTTAAATAGAAAGCCAAAACTTGTACATTGGATTTCAAGTAAAATTTCGTGCACTACCAAATGATCAGCTTTTTAAAATGCTCTCTGCTTCAGTAATACAGCGAGAATTTACGCCTCCTTGAACAAAATCAAACATTTCGGAAGAGCTAAGTAACTCCATTTGAATGTACGAAGTCAGATCACAAATCAAAATACCGAGTTTTATCCGCCATACTAATATGTGAAAGCGCCATCTATAGGTGAATTGAATCGCGGGTGGTATGATATTTTAACGGTTTTGTATGAGCATAACCGCATGAGAATTCGCGGTTGGAAGATAGACTACTACTTTAACTTCGCATATCTCGTACCTTGCAAGCCGGTTGGAGCGAGCTAATTTTGCCGGCGGTAGTGATAACTGTGTAAAAGACTAATTCTTCTAATTAATTATGGCTGATCAACGTAAGTATTGATTTAAAACATTGTATGTTATTTTAATAACATTTTTTAGTGTTAATATACAGTACCTTTGCATGAGATGTAAGTTTTCATTTGGTGTTCATTGTTAGCGCCATTTTGCTCATTTCACAAAGAAGCCATTTTAAGATAGTACAGGATTCCGGTTTCTAAATAGAAAATATATCTTTTATTAACTCATTTTCTCCCGGCTGTAAAAAGTTAAGCTGTTTTGTTTGTTTTTAAAGTGAAATTAATTAATTTTCTTTGCAGTACTTTTTTTCTTGCCATAATAATTTGTAATTGCTTTGTCCTTTATTAAAAATTCTATCTAAATCTGATGCTGTTTAAATTTGTGTTGGAGATTTGTTTTTAAGTCGTTCTTTGATATCTACTTCGCATGAGAAAATTTTTTAATTAAAAATATAGTATTCTGACAAATCAGTTTCAGATGCATTGTAATTGGTATTTCGTACATCTACTGATGAGATCATTAAAATATCACTGCAATATTTTCTCGAACTCTTTTTCAGAAGTTGTTGCCTCCTCGTGTTTCTTTTTGGGTGCAGGGTAAGGGAAGTTACGATACAAGTTGCTTTTTACTTTCCATCTTGAAACTTAATTTTTAAATAACTTTTATGTTATTGGTAATGCAGTAGTTTACTAATTAGTAATCGTATTAGTAGGTTCTGAGTGATGGCCACGATATAAAATTCATTTCTAAATTTTAAATGCAAGTGAAATGAATAAATAGTAAAATTGTCCTTTGTGTACTTAGGTCTTCACCATTATTTTCTAAGTCGCCAGTTGAAGTTGAGATACCAGCATCGTTTTTCTCATTTGTGGGTAGTGAAGAAAGGAAAATAGTACAGCATTCTAATATTATCTAAGTTTAAAGTTCAATGCTTCCACTTTTTTTATTTCTAAAAATTGTTTGATTTTTTTTGATTTTTCAAAGACTATGCCAAACTGTTTGCTCTTCCTTTAATTTCCTTAAACTTCATCTGTTCAATACTGAATGAATGAGTTTTTATACCAAAAAAGTCTAGAAGAGAATTTTACTGTTTATATTTTGGGTTCAACATCATCTTTGGTTCATCATGTATATGTTTGACTGTGGGAAGCTGGTTTGTGTTATGTGCACTCTTTGTATAGTGCATTTGCTAGTGCAAAGCAGTTATGCTCATATTTGATTGGAATGCAATTTTTCCTATTAAGAGAAAAGTTGATTAAGTATTCAGCATGCTAGCAATATGTAAAATTGCTATTTATGTATTTCATTTCACTGTATGATAATGTGCAATTTGGAAGAAGTAAATTGAAATAACATATGGAAGTGAAAGCTGGATTTAATCCTATTATCCGGTGCACACGGGATTTGGCTACTTTTGGCGACTTTATGATGAGCAGTAAAAACGCGACATATACGACGAGTAATAAACAGGTCATTAAAGAATATATATGGTTATACATAGTATATACTATATATATAGTGTATATGCTATGTATATACACATATAGTATATATATATATAGACGTTCTTTGGATCATTTTTGGTGTTGTGATAATTTTCAAAATCACGCCAAGGCTGCACCGTATACTAGGATTTTACGTACTTGTTGAAATTTTTGGTCCCTATTAAATTGGTGTTGTATAACAGAACTTTGAGTTCCTTGAAGCTGCTCATTAAAGCATTTTGAAGTTCTGTAGGCTCCTGATAAAAATGCAAGATAAGTAAGATAAACTCGCAAAACCAATATTATAATAAATCGAAATACACTATATTTTATAAAGAAGTTGATATGAAGAATGAGTACATTTAGTTTAATAAATTAATATGTAAAGCAAAATGCATGCAATAAGTAGTGGAAAAATAAGTAAAAGTTTGAGTGCCCCTTGTTTTTTTGGCAATTCTTTTTTGGCATCAAGATTAGTGCCAGAAAGGCACAATTTCAAGATGGCCACTACACAAAACCAAATTAAGAAGTCTTAAGAATTGCACAAACTCTTGTGTCCATGTACCCGTCAATCTATTTTCACTTAAAAAAATCAGGAAGCTAAGACTATTATCATAACCAGAAAGGGGGTTTCATTACCAAAAGTGAACAAAATTTGTTGCTAATCGAAAGGGCACCCAATTCTACACTAGAGCAGAAAAAAATATTAGAAGTGAAGAATTGATGTCAGATTAGTATGTTTTAGATTAGTCCTTTTGCTGTATCTAAGCAGTTTGAAATAATTACAAAAAAGTTATATTTAGTATCTATTTTTATGACTAAGTAAAGTATTTTAAACCAGAATTAAAATATAACGAATTAATATATTTTGCAATAGAAAGGTTGAATGGGATTTAACCACAGGCAAGCAATTTGAAATAGCATTTACCATTGCAGAGACTATTTCTGTTCATAAATTCATGCTTCCTCACATCAATTTAACTGGTACTTTTCCGTTTCGCCGGCGCAAGCGCAAATCTCGCCAAGCAGACTTTGTTGGCGGCAACATACAGTATAAACATAAAAAATGTTAATTCTAAGAATTTTTTTTATTTTGAAGGCATAAACATTTTAATATGGTTTAAAATTTTGTAAAAAGCCAATAAATAAAGACAATAAATTTGTAAAAAGACATTAAAAATTTACTATGATTTCATGGTTCAAAATCCTGATTCGCCGGTTCGTATCACGTGACCCCAATTGATCTCATCTCACGTAAACTACACTACTAAAATCTAATTCTCTCAGGAATTATCTACATTAATTTCAAGTTAACTCTTAATTTGGAATACAAGTTTAAATGTAAGAATTATTTCAATTCGTACGAATAGCTCAGAAATTATGTAAAACGGCAGTGCTTTACTTCGCTAGTGCATTCTCATTAGAATTGATGAATTTAACACTTGATTTTGCCTTCGGATGAGCGGTGTAATTGCGTTCTAATTGACTTAATTACTGTGAATTGTCTTAGGGGATAAAATTTAAATATCGTGTAAAAATTCTATATTATTGTATACCAGTGTTGAACGAAACAATCTGATAGAAATGGCTTCAACTTGTTTTGAAACTGAGGCGTAAAAGGTTACCAGTGAAGATATTCCATCTGGCATCAGTTAAACCATTATTGGCGACTTTGTCGTTTGCGCCGGCAAAACGGAAAAGTACCGTTTAACTAAATACAAATCTAAGTATTTATTACGAAGCCGTTTCTCTTTGGCATTTATTGCACTGGGCTAATTTGTTACGTTTTCAAGAAGTTTACCAGTTTGCCAAATAAGTAAGTTTTGCACATTTTCAAAAATCTGTGATTTATATTCTTACAATTCAGTATCAAAACAGTTTCATTCTGCCTTTCTATGGATGTATCTTTCCGTACAATTCCATTTTGCCTTTCTACGGAATTACGGTATCAAAACAGGTTCATTCTGCCTTTCTACAGATAGATGCAATTATAAAGATGTGAAACTTGATCTAATTAATTATTGTTCGTTTTTTTTAATCCAAAGTCTTCAGAAATTGAGTGTAGTTTACTTTCTGTCCTTGCTTTAGAAGAATTTCGATAGACATTAATAATAATAGCATTTGTAATTTTTGAAACTTTAAAAAAAAGTGCAATTCTTCAGGATAATTGTTAGCATTTGGTGCTGTATGAGAGTCTGAAGATTGATGTTGCAGGCATTTTAAGAAAATATTTGCAAATTATGAAATGCACCTGTCACCTTAAATTTAGCAATGAAAAAGGCTCGGCTTCTTTGCCAATAAGTGGTTGAACACATTGTTGATATTTATTATCTTGAAAAGATTGCTAAAAGGAAGGAATTAAAACAATTTCAACAGCTGCATAATACTGAAATGCGAAAAAATCTGAAATATGTATGTACAGCTGGTTATCTTTAGGGAAATATTCTAGAGACCTCGACCTATGGAACCCATTTCTTAAGGGAAAAGCAAGTGCTTCTAGAGTTGAGAAAAATGCTCTGTTGAAGGTTATAAAATACCTTAAATGAAGATCTAGTTATTGCTTCGATTGTTAAAAAATAGGTGAGAAAAAGAAAGCACTTCCGCAGAGAACCCGGTAAATGTAAACATCGCCAACTTTGGCGATAATAGTTCAAACCTGGTAACCCATCAGATTTATCCTATTTGCTTGTTCGAAGTTTGCAACCATTCCTCTTGCCTTCATTTTGTTGAATTATCACTGTCGTTGTTCGCATATGCAGATTTATATTATTCATCTCTTATTTATTATTATTTTTTTGAATTTTTTAACAACGAATAGATAGAAATATTTTCGTAGATAGATGCCGGTTCTCAGTTCACGATGAAACGAAGAAAATACGGCGGGAGGAGTGAATGCTAATTTGTAACAATGGCTGTTCACGTGTGTGCTCTTAATTATTAAACAGCTCTTAAGAACCATGAGCAGAATCATGAGGTTTCCAACCTCTAAAATAATTTGTTTTCGTGGATCGCAAAAATGTGCATGTGCATTTTAAATAATTAAGTAATGCTTTTAGTTTTACTATTGGTTATTGTCATCTAAAATTATGAGAATAAATCAATTTTTATGGCGTAAAATTTTAACAAGATAATAATGCTTTTCTAACAATAACCGGTTTAATCCAATTTTCTAACAATAACCGGTTTAATCCAAGTATGCGGTGCACACGGGATTTGGCGACTTTGTGATGAGCAGTAAAAACCGGACATTGCGATGAGTAGTTAACAGGTCATTCAAAGAAAATATATAGTTAAACATAGTATATGCTATGTTATATACATGCATAGTATATAGTGTATAGTATATATATATATATAGACGTTCTTTGGATCATTTTTGGTGTTGGCGATAATTTTCAAAGTCGCGCCAAGGCTGCACCGTATACTAGGTTTTTACCCAATAACCTTTCAGAGGATGGCAGGTGTAACATAAATAGATGATAAAATTGAAATAAAAAATGTTATTGATTATCTAAGATGACAGAATAGTTTGATGCCTCACCATGGTCATCAAAATTAGCAAACCACTGCTGGTGTAAGGAATATATTGTTTTCTGTGTTAACTTGAATTTAATACAAATTTATTTTCGTATATCATGTTTAACTGGTTAGTTTTACATCTACATGCTTATTATCTGTGAAGTTTTACTACTATATGCTTTAATATACTGTTTTGTCTGCTAACTTGAATTTACATACACTAAAAATCACGTTTTTGGCTCGGCTCATCGAGCTTGGCGAGTAAAAATGCAACGGCGCCAATGGGTTTTCTGCGGATGAAAACCCGAGAAAAATTAAGGTAAAAGTATATTTTAGGGCACCCATTGGCGAAACTTGGCGGTACATGGATACTGAGTTTGTGCAATTCTTTGACTTGTTAATTTGGCTTCGTAGACAAAATTAAAGTAACAAGACAAAGAATTCCACAAACTATCCATGTATACATCCACCTATTTTCACCATCCGAGAATTGCACAAACTAGGCTTTGTCCATGTACACATTGAACTATATTCACTTAAAAAGTCAAAGGAGCAGCCAACAAAAAAAATATATAATCTGACATTTTAAACCAAACAATGTGATGGCTTTTAGTAAAATTTGGGACTGATGCATATATGACGGTTTGATTGAAAGGTGCCCATCGTATTGTCACAAAGTTGTTTCATTTATGGTAACCTGAGTAGTTGAATGTTATGGAAACCCTATTATGACATAATAGGTTTCATGATTGTGGTAAATTTTGAATTATGGGAAAAGATTTGTAAGAGCTTGTGGGGTGTGTTGGTTATGAAGTACATTGCTTGTTTTGTGGTTAGACGGTGAAATGGCTAAATGTGGTAAGATTAATTTGAAGGTTCTGTACAATTTGAAAAGAAAGAAAATGGCATTATTTGACTGGTGTCTAAATATAGGTTTACTTAATAGCCATTATTAAGTGTCTTTTTTGTAGAAAAGAAATGCGTATTGTCAGACAATAATGGTGCGACAGAGGATTATTTTTTTACTCTTATTTTCTGAATTTATGTGGTGATGCCAGTATATAGATTTTAGTTTAGGTAATTCAGTAAAGAAAAAGTTTTCTAGTTGACCGCATAGTATCATTTAAAATATAATCATGTTTTCATTTAACAATTTAAGTGTCATGCTTGCTTTATGCTTGCTTTGTCATTGTTTCATTTTGCCATACATGTCCTATTTCATCGATATGTTGCCACCTGGGGATCTGTGAAAAAATCGGATAAAATAATTCAATTTTTAATATTGTTTATCAGTCGGCATTGACTGAAAATGGTATAGTGGCAGCCACTATACTATTACAATGACTCACATTGTACTTAGACCATGTTAAAATATGTTGGTATACATGATTTTGTTTTCGTGGTAGTATTATTTTTTATTGCATTGGATTTGCATGTTTTAATAATTGTCTTTAATTTTTCAGAATATTCTCAGTACCCTGCAGGCCAGACTGGGTAAGTCATTGCTTGATTAAAAGAAATCTAAATTTTGTATTACGTAATAAATATTTTAAGCATGTTTTTAAATAAATGTAAGTTGAATTTGGTGTAATTTTTCCATAGGTATTCATACGGTGGTTATGGAGGAGATTCATCATATTCTCAAAGTGGTTATGGTGGGACAAGTAGTGGTGCATATACAGTAAGTTCATTTAAGAAATGTTATACAGTCAAAAGTCGTTAATCCGGACTCGTCGGGACTTCAGCGATTCCGGATTATAGATTATCAGTTTAAATCTAGTAAGATGGCATGCAGAAGGGTATTAAAATTTACAAAAAAAAGCTTAATATTTATTTGTTTACTTTATTAAACATTTCTTTCAACGCGCGCATACGTAAAGCATACGTCAAAATCAGAAAATTGCAACCAGAAAACTATTTGATGTGTATTCGTGATATTTATAATGATGAGGAATTTGATTTAAATCATATGAAAGACAGGAGTACATCGAGATGAAATACTACATTTAGTAAGGAATTATAAGTGAATAAAATAAAAACATCTGCCTTGAAGATAAGGATAGTGCTGACAGATCAACTTCCAGTTCATTTACCGCTATGATCTCCCCCCCTACAGAGCAGCGTGAAATTGATAAACAGATTTCAGAATGGTTAGAGCAACAAAGGATATGCCTTTATCCATTTTTTGCAGGAATTCCACTTTTTGTTTAATGGACTTCGAAGCATACTTTCGCTTTGGTAGATCCTTCACATATTAGTAAATATATATATCGGAAATTCTGTTTGACATAATCGAAAGTTCAAGCTTACTTTTATAAAATTGCTCTAACAGCCTGCAAAAAATAATAAGCCGGATCCAATTTGAAGATTAAGGAACAACGCAATCTGCGACATTAACTGAATTAGATAATTTTAGCTTACCTTATACCGTCCATTATACATTAAACATGCATGCGTAAACATATTATGCACATGCACACACGCATATTTGCAGCCGTGAAGGTCTTGCGCGCCGACGCATGCGCAGAAAGTTTGTAGCTTTGAGGTCCGAATTAACGACTTTTGACTGTATATGTAAATTTCTCCCAAGAACAGATTAGGAATAATTTATCTTTTGTCCATAAACACATTTATTTTCTACTGTTATTTAAATGTAAATTAATTACAGTAATTAATAACCTTTCTTTCAAGATGATAACTAAAATATATCATAAATATTTTAATCTTATTTTATGCTGTTCTTCACAGGACATTTTATAACCTTCAAATTAAAGAAATAATTCTATTTGGATGGCAGCTGAAGTTTTTTAGTGAAATTATCTTTATTAAGCACTTGAGCGTGAGCAGGTCAGTAGCTAGGTATTGGCCATCCATGTATCTCTGCTTATCGTAAATTCCCTAGAAATTCTAAATTCTGCTGATCTTAGTACCTTCTTAAATTTTAAAATTTTTGCTGCCATCTGCAGCTACACCTTTTGAACTATGTCTGACGAGAGCACTAGTTACAGGCTTAGCAGCATCGGTATAGTCTTGTGTATAGCTGCCAACTCCTGGTTTACCATGAGGCTCACACCTTTTGGCGGAAATTATTTCCTAGTAATAAATATGAAACTTAAATTGTGCTAATTTCATTTTCTTACCTCTAATGAATTTTAGCATATTTTTTCTTATTTAAATATATTTGATCTGAATTATCTTAATCTGCTGTAAACATTTGTAGAAATTTTTAAGAACTCATCCTGTGTATGAATTCAGTTTATTTAGACTGTTTGCGGTCGGATTAAATTTGGAGATGAGTACTGTGCTGGTCAGAATTAATTTCCGTTGATAGAGCAGGGATACATAACACGCAAGTTTATGATGGAGAAACAAGATTTAGTAATTGTTTCGTGAACTTAAAATATATCTTTATTCAATACACTAATCTAGTGATATGGTTTTGTATAAAAATATTATTTTATAATTCTCCTTTTTTTTTTTTTTTTTTTTTGAAAATATCTGTATGATGTTTTTCAAAACACTCTCCAACATGCAGGCCAGGTTTTCGAGTGCATGTATCACAAAAATAATTGGTTTGGTGCCTTCCACTCTTAATCTTTGTTTGAACCTATACTACAGTCTTTACATTTTCCATTTTCACAGTGCTGCAATGTATGCAGTTTTTAAGTCTTTCTTCCTTATCGGAGGTCGATGGTCTTCCTGGTTTTGAATCTGCTCCGTCACGAAAATCGCCTACCAGTTTTGCTACCAATTTCCGGACGAACCTAAAATGTGGCATAGGTGTCCTGTTCTCTCTTCTAGCTGAATTTTGGGAAATTAATTTGGAATATTTTAAGAAGAGAGAATGTCTAATTACTTTTAAATACAATTTATAAAATATTCTTTGGAATTCTACAAGGTATCGTCGAATGCTGTCGATTTCATTACATTCAAAAGACCACTGGCATGCCACTGCGTCTTGCATGGCGAGCGCTGTGTCACAGCTTTTGTTTAGATTAGATTACGTTATCTCCAATCAATGGAGCATCGTCACCATATTGGTTCGTGAATAGGTTCTTTAGACATTAAGTTTTGTATAGGAAAAGTGTAAACTGACACATGTATGCATACAGTATACAATTCGTATAGTTCCTTGCTGTGGTGGCTGAGAGCAGACGTACGACCGGAACGTTAAAAAGGCTTTAGTGGCTGAGAGTGGACATACTCCTCAAAGGGTTAAGCACTGCCACTGAATGATATTTTTTATAAAGTTTAAAAACCACACTCGAGGTGGATTGAATTTCATACTAATCCTAGGGGTTGAGAGAATATGCTCTTGGCAAATTTGGGATTAATATCTGTAGTTGACTGTGGTAGTCGTGCCGAGACCGATAAGCATCGTTGTGTTAAACCGTAGCGTAGGGTTCAGTTGCTTCACACATGTCACCGTCGATCGACGCATAGATGACACCCATTTTTTGTTTGTTTAACAATAAACTTTAATAAGTAAACAATTCTTGATTATTATACATTATATGTACAAGCATGAATAGGTAAGTCCGGCATGGTCTCCGCCGGATGAGAAAAAACAATCTCTCCATGACGAAAGAAAATGGCGATTCTCCCCCGCCAAAAAAAACTCCGGCAACCAGGGTGCCAAGTCCTCTTCGCCCCCCTCGTCTTTTTGTTCGTCCTTTCTCCTTCCGTCCAACGAACCACCTCTCCGTCAGACTAATTATTTCGCTGGCTAGGCTTTTCCTTCTCCTTCTCGGGTTATGGGCATTACACGCCCCCACCAAGATGAAGATTTGCCTATTAAAGGCTAATTTTCACAACAGGTTCAACCGAACCGTTCAGCGTTCATTAGAAATAATGTAGAGTTCATTAGATACAATTCCCAGAGTTCAGAGGTTTATTAGTTGACACACTTGATTTCGTACAAAATGTCAAAGTTCCTGATGGCTGACATGGATACTGAAATTTTTCAGCCCCCTACCCGACCAGGTGCAGGGGGTACTTAAAAACCAAAATCTGATCAGGATACAAAAGTCTTCTTACCATGTTTTTTCGTTTAACAAATACAAATATTACACTAAACATAACTGCATAAATACATTCTACATTAGACAAACATTTTTTGTTTACCAACATCATTTAAACAAATTATCTCGAAAAGTATTTTAAGGACAAGAATTAAGAACCTCTGAATATCTGTGGTTCCCCCCTTTTTTTATATAGTACTATTATTCACACCAATCGTGACAACGCATCTGCGGCTCGATGTTGTACTCCTGGACGATAAGTGATTTTTAAATTCCATCTTGCAAAGAGAGAGCCCAACGCGTTAATTTTGGACTCCTAGGTGTAATTTCAGTGAGATATTTCAAAGGATTATGGTCCGTAATGGTTTCCACCGTCCCTCCGAAAATCCACTTATCAAATTTCTTGAGCCCGAAATAACACTGCCCAGGCCTCCTTTTCTATGGCTGCCCAATTCTTTTGAGCCCCAGAAAATTTTGGGATGCAAAAGCTATTGGTTTAAAATGCCCTTGTGCATCTGAGTTTAGACAACAACCGACGGCCACATCTGATGCATCAGAATGCACCTGAAATGGTAAATTAAAGTCAGGCGTGGCCAGAGACGTCACCTGACACAGCATATCTTTCAAACTTCTGGAAAGCCGCGTCTTCAACTTGACCCCACCGTACATTATTCGGAGCATTCTTTTTTCGTCAAATCCGTCAAAGGTCCAGCTATCTCGGCATAGTTCGGGATATATGTGCGATAAAATCCCATGAGACCCAATACCGAACGGACTCCCTTTTTATTCGTGGGCCTTTCTAGCACTTTAATTGCTGCAATCTTACTAGGATCTGGGCCGTGTTTGCCGTTTCCTATCTTATGGTCCTAGGTAATCTATTTCCTTAGCTGCAAAATCACACTTACTGAGCCTGACAGCAGAAAATTTTAACTGTTCCAGTATCTTAAGGATCGTTTCTAGATGCTTCAGGTGTTCTTCAAACGTGTTTGAGAAAAATTATAATATCGTCTATATATGCTTGGGCGAAATCGCTGTACCGGAAAAGAACCTTATTCATTTCTCTTTGAAAGGTACCTGACGCTCCTGCCAAACCAAACGGCATGACGTTCCACTGAAACGTCCCGTTGTGAGTTGAAAATGCTGTCAGTGGTTTACTTGATTCCTCCATTCCGATTTGCCAGTATCCTCTGCGCATATCTAAACTTGATAGCCATTTTGAATGCCCAGCCACATATATTAATTCATGCATATTCTTCATAGGAAATGCCGGCACTTTAGTGATCGAATTCAATACCCTGAAATCAACGCACATCCTGATTGTCGCTTTCTTGACCACACACACAACCGGATGGGCTATGTCCGCTTCCGACGGTTCAATGAGACCCAGCTCTAGAAGTTCCTTGACTTGTTTGTCCACCTTCTTGCGATATGCCATTGGAATGTCATAACAGTGAGGTTTTTTCCTGTCTGCTCCAGGCATAAGATCAATCTTATGTTGTCCTACTCTAGCAGGTTGAACATGTCTCAAAAATAAGTTCTTGTACCTTCCCAACAGTAGTTTTAGATCATTAATCTGCTTGTTGTTAAGATTAGCGGTACTTAGATTATTTAACATACTTTCAAAACTACTATCCTGGTCTAAAGTAGAGGGAATATTGTC